CAGTGAGTTAGATAGTGCAGTGTCCGAGATTCCAAGAATGTGCTCTGACTTCCTCAAAGACAAAGAGGAGAGATCAATATGGTCTGCACCAGGTGGCGGTACAGACCATACACTCCTCCATCGGACCACCAGGGAAACGTTATAAAGCTCACTGGACCACCGTGGATTTAATATTAACCCCCACTGAACACAAGGGAATCATTAACTCCCACTGGACCACCTGGTACGTATTAATAACCCCCTGTGGAACACCAGTGAAAATAGACTCCTCCTTGCAAAAAAAGGTAAATGTCACGTACCCCACATTAACGAAATAAGATAGCAAGGGTAGCCCATATCACCAGTAATTGGAATGGCCAGGCCTAACAGAGAGCAGAGTCTGAGAAAGAGCCAAGGTCAAGGGAAAGAGACAATAGGATAATCGGTAAGACAAGTCAAAAGGTTGGGAGCCCAGAAATAAATGATAAATGATAAACAAGCCAAGGTCTGAAACCAATAAACTCAACTGCAAAGAAAGCACTATTGGGTCAACATCAGCAAGAACCACAACAGGGCACCTAGGTCAAAGGAAGGATTTAAATAACCCAAGCTTTAACATGTTGGTTCTTATCCCATCCCTGTGCCAGAAGGTACTGTATATGACTGGCTGGATTCACGTCACCAATGACAATAGAAGACTTGTCATTCGAGATGAGTAGTGTCAAAATTGGCGCAAAAATGGCGTAACTCCTTATGGATAGGATGAGTGAATTGAAAATGATGTCAAAATAAAAAAAATGACGCAGGAATGAGGCAACTCTTGACAAACCAGTTTAAGTGTTCATGCCAGCACGCTGCGTCAGAAAGAATGCCAGATAGGCGAGAGATGCTCCTAGCATGCGTGACAGTAATTAGGAGAGGTGACAAAATATTTTTCTATTGTATTTAATTAAAGCAGTTAAAGTTAAATAAACACACAGCACACATATCACACAAAATCCGACTACTGCTTTTGTGTTTAATTGTCGGTACTTTGAGATAAATAAGTTGGTTTCCAGTTACAGTTTGGGCACTCTGACTCAAAAATGTGTTAGCCATCACTACTATAGTCTAGGTTTTTTTTGTTTTCCAATCTTTTTTTGATTGAGGTATTAACACAAACACAGTATTATCAGCACAAACACAGTATTATCAAGGAGTAACAGCCTCATTTTGAGTATGTAATGAAGTGCAGAGGCTGGTATAACACTTATGAACAGATTTGTAGGTATTATTCTGGAAATGGATGAGGGAGCTCCTGAATTAAGTATCCATTGTCATGTATAAATAAAGTTTCAGATTACAAGGAGCCTTTCTCATAAATGGGAGACGCATATCTTTAGCCAAAATTTTGTTTCTACATGACAATAAATTGCTTAGACTAGGCCTCTGTGCCTGGTCGTTTGCATAGAATTAGTCATTGTCCTTTGTCAAATTTCTCATTTTGCTGACCAAACAGACCATCAATTTTATTGTTAGGTTTAAGGAACTCTATATTATTAGGAATGTAAACCTGTGTTCCTAATGTTATAGTGTACCTGTCCCTAGATCTATGTAGGTTTCCCCCATTTCCAATAAAACATGTTAAAAATAAAAGTTTTATTTACCTTTTACCTACGTAATCTCCCTCGGCATTGCTCACCTTTCCGCCTCATGTGACATTGCAGAGTAGCCATGGCTTCTTTTGCGAAGGTTCCTTGCTATGCTCCTCATATTGGGCACCGAATACCATGTGTGGTGAGCATTCACGCTCCCATAGGATAGCAGGTGCCCCTAGTGGCTGTCAATACCATAGGTGGACTTAATCCTGCAATGTAAAAAGTAAACGTTGTTGTTTGTAAAAACCTGTAATGTATTAAGTTAAAGGAGCAGAAACACTACATCCAGACCACTTCAATGAGATACAGTATTCTGGGTGACTATAGTGTCCCTTTAACTAAATTCCCTGTAGGCCCCCTTGTAAGATACCTTTGTCTTCTGCATGCTCCTAGTCTCTCCCCCCTCCCCCCCAGTCTCCCTCTCCCCCTTTGCCCCTTCCCCCAGTCTCCTCTCCCCTTTCCCCTCTCCCCTCCCCCTTCCCCACTCCCTGCCCCCTCCCCCAGTCTCCCTCTCCCCCCCCCCTCCCCCAGTCTCCCTCTCCCCTTTGCCCCCCTCCCCCCCAGTCTCCCTCTGGGGGAGAGACTAGGAGCATACAGCCCTGAAACATAGGAACTGGAAACGGGGGAGCACTGCCTACCATGGTGCACGACCTTCTGCAGATGGGTTCTCTTTGGCCATTTACTGCATATTGACCCGATCTCTATCTAGACCTGTAAGTTCTCACACAATGCCACATCTTGCACCCATGTGCGGGATAGTCTGTTGTCAGCAATTGATCTTTTAATTTAATTTAATTCCTCTGCAGTGATGAACTAGGAGCCACAAGCCGGCCGGGTCACAAGGCCAACAATGCAGTTCAAGACTGATGTCTATACAATGAGAAATGCAGATTAATGGACATTCTACCTCTTCCTCCTGTTTGGTTTCAATGGGCTTGCAATAGCACAACTATGAGCACAGTGCATCGTGACCATTTTATGTCTCTACAAAAGTTGGACAAAGTCCAAAACTAAGTGGGCATCAACATGACCAATGCACAGAATCAACAGACCTACACAGCTTATTGGATGTTACGATGCTGCCATCTGATGTATGAAAATGGGAACTACAAGTTCATTATTTCATAACTATCCAGAATCTGTAGAATTGTTTTCAAGTTTAAAGTGCCACACCTTTCTGGCATGCAATGGGTTACACCACTATGTAAATAAATAATATGTATTCACAGGTTTCTTTACTTTCCCCTTTAAGGTGTGTATGCTAATGCTTACAATGTGCACTGAGTGAGTCTGGTTATTATGGGTTACTGTCACATGGAATATTGACTATTTACAGGCAAAAGCATGAAAATAAAAATGATTTTTTTTTTTTTTAAAACAATATATGTATTTGCCAGGTGCTTGGGTATTACGTAACTAAAGGGTTAATGGAAAGTTGCCATTTACCAGTGCAAATAATTGTAAATTGTTGACAATTAAACTGAAATAATTGGGCTAAAATAGCTGAGAAAATAAAATACTCTGGCTCGGCTTTAGTGGTAGTTTAACTATTTTAGCTTACATTTTGCAATTCAGTTTTGGATTAATTAAAATAAATCCCCCTTCATTGCTGGAAGGTACATGGGGAATAACGGAGAGGTTCTCTGATTTACATGGTAATTCATCAAAGTGTTAATTGTTGGAACTCCAAAAGAAATGCAAATTGAATTTCGCATTTGAGGCCGAAAGAGACAAATTAAAACTGCAGTTGACTTGAAGAACTGTTCAACTCTAGCTATTTTGTCTGACACCGAGAAATTCCTGACAATACACACTTTAGTTAATAACCCGAGACTGCAAATGTATCCTGTTTTCCAAAGAACCCCATTTTCCAGAGAATTTCGATGTCATCCTTATGGTTGGGAGTCGACACTTGGTCAAACTAATATTTGCAATAAGAAACTTTAATGTCACATACACGGGGTTAAAGCAATTAAAAAAACGTTAACAATTTCACATTGAACATAAGATTAAACGACTTAAACATCAAACGGAAGTGTAATATTTGACGTATTGACTATAACTGCACCACAACCAATTCAGCTTACTGTAGTGGTTATGACGCAAGGACAGTATGGGTGCAATCCCTTCAGTTTTTGTCTCACAGTTTCATTCCCTCATATTTGTACGTGTTAGCATGACATGGCCATGCCAAATCCCCACAAACCAATTATTCCTATTGAAACAGACTACTTGGCTTTTGTGAGGGAATATATCTTGATTCCAATGTTCAGCGTAATTAACTTAAGGCCTACATCTGATGTTCTTTATACGTAATGAACGTTTTCTCTTTAAAATGCTGAATACGTGTCAGCATAAGTTGCGTTCCCTGTGTATTCTAGCCCCGACCGGAGCACTTATTTTGAGAAACTGTACATTGTGTGACTGTTTCATAGCTAATCTTGTCTCTGCGACCTTCCTATCTTATGAAATATGTAACCACATATTGTTTTGTAAACTAATTTCATATCTTATGAAATATGTAGCCACATTAACTAATTTTATCTTTTGACTTTCCTATCTTTAACTACATTATTTATTTTAAAACTTTCTTTTTTAACTTTCAAACTTAACTGCAACAATATTGTGTATAAATACACCCTACTTTAAATAAACGAGCAGGAAGTAATTTTGGACTCACAACCATTTGTGTCGCGTGTTAATTGCTTCTCCAGGCGCCTGATATAATTTGGATTCCCCTGAATATAAGTATTGGATCCTTTGTCTGTGTCACTTTCTACACATCAACAATAATCTACAACAGAGTTTAGTAATACGTTTTACGCAACATCTATGTAAATGTTTTTACGCATCGTATCGGGGCATATTGTATAAGTATTAAGGCTTAATTCCGTAAACAATTAGTATATTTTTCCAAAGATTTGTGAAATTTAGGTTCAAATATTCAAATGTGAAATTTATTTAAACATTAACATTGAATTAGTGACAATTCAGACTTTTGTGAATAACGCTGTTAGGGGCGATCGAGAAGGGCAGGAAAACGGTCAATAAGATCCATATTAATATTCTTAATAACAGTAATAAACCTGAAATGGCATTTAAATACACAATTATTTTATATTTTGATTCATCTCACTTTATTTTAACTTTATAAACTCTATATTTGGTTTCTCTGGTAATAAAACATATGGGATTGGCTGGAGTTATTTGGGGGTATGTCAACATAACATTTAGAGTCAATATAAGATTTAGATAACTGAAAACATTCTTTATTTAGAATTGTGGAAAGCATATGGTTAAGTTAAGGCTGTACCAATTTAGTAAACAAATCCCCCCCTCCCCTTTACTGGAGTGGAACAGTCCGAGAGAGTGCGCATGCGCCAGGCACAGTTTACGCGCGAAATGCAGGTTCCCACCCGGAGCGTTGCAGCCAATGAGGAGTTAGTGTTTGCGTGACGTGTATCCGGTCGCAGCGTTTTCTCGGAGTTCTCTCAGTGTTTGGCGCCAGATTCTGTCAGTAGCGGTCGCCATGGCTCAGGCTCGGGTCACGGATTACTTCTCTCAGACCAAGCGGCCGGCGGGGCCCGATGCGGCCAAGCGGCGGAAGGTGCAGCCGGCGGCGGCGGTGGTGGTGGAGAGGGTGGGGACCCGCAGTAAGAAGCCCCGGCTGGAGGAGCTGCTGCAGCCCCCGCGGACCCCGGAGAGAGCCCACGAGACCCCGCGATGTGTGGGGCCCAGCGGCAAGAAACGGAGCCGGCTGGACTCAGAGCCCGAAACCGGCCCCACCGAGAGGAAATCAGCCAGGAAGAAACTGCGACTGCCCCGGGAGGGAGAGACCACGGTAACCAATACACCGGGAACAGCATGGGGGGGGAGGAGGGGGCAACACGGGGGTGGGGACAAGGGGAGGGAGACCAAGGGGAGGGAGCAGGGTGGGAGAGGGAGACGGTGGGGGGGAGGAGACTTGGGGAGACGGGGTGGGGGCAAGAGGGAGGGAGACTTGGGGAGACGGGGGTGGGGGCAGGGAGAGGAGACTGGGGGAGGGAGGGAGACTTGGGGAGACGGGGGTGGGGGCAAAGGAGGAGAGGAGACTGGGGGAGAGGGAGGGAGACTGGGGAGAGAGGGAGACGGGGTGGGGGGCAAAGGAGGGAGAGGGGGGCAAGGGAGACTGGGGGGGAGGGGGGCAACACGGGGGGGACTACATAGAAATTCAGTGTCACTTGTCTATTATAAGGGATTAGACGAGATAATCCTTTTTGACTATTGTGTATCTCTCAATCCCATTAGTTGTTTTCCTGTTGTATCCCACCTTGCTATAATCTTCCTTATGATTGCTCTCAGAACTCCCATTCATTGTTTGCACTACTTTTTTAAGGTAGAGAGCATTTTACTTTGCTATTTGTTCCAGGACTCCCCTGGGTTCGAGCGCATACTATTTGCTGTTGGGATGTAAATTATCAGCATTGTAATGCTGTTCATTTTAATTCTAATGGAATCAATTGATTGTACTTGAAATATGCAAATTCCAGTGCATTAGATTAAGTGGCATATTTGCATTTGGTGACTGGCTGTAAACTGAACTTCACTACTAACTTAGAGGTATACTATAGGCACCCAAACCAGTGTCTTGTTTTGTTTTTTTTAATTTAAGAGAAAATATATAAATGCAACCTTTGAAACTTTCAGTTGTATACAAATAGTCAAAAGCTGATGGTCCTGTCAACAATAAAACGGTTTATTTCTGAAAGTGGAGCAATTGCCATGGAAGCAAAGGGAATCTGTAAAAACATTTAATTGATTTCTGTTCTCACTTTAAAATTTTGCACAGCAATTTTGGTGAGGGGTTTAGTTAACACTCTGGTTTAAGAGAGGCCGAAAGAAGTAAAACATTTGTCGCTTGCCCTCTATTTGGTTACTGATGAAATGGCACATGCAATTTATTTTGTTTGGAAGGGGAACTAAATGGTTGACTTAAGTATAGAGACCAGCAAGGGCCACATCTAGAGTATGTACCTATTTATAATTATGCTTTTTGATTTGGGGGCCATAGTTCTTTCAAAATCGCTATTGAGGTCTGATTGGTGTGGTTATTATTGACATTTATATAGCTCCAACAGATTCCGTAGCGCTTTACAATGTTATGAGAGGGATTTAACGATAAATAGGACAATTACAAGAAAACTCACAGGAACGATAGGTTGATGTGGACCCTGCTCAAACGAGCTTACAGAATTGTAATATATTTATAATTCCTGCAGTTGGAGAAACCAGAATTTTAAAGGGACACTATAGTCCTCAAAACCACTACCGCTTAATGTAGTGCTTCTGGTGTCCTATTGGCACTATAAACTCGGCTTTTCAGAGAAAATGCAGTGTTAATACATTGCTGGCTAGTAACATCTCTAGATGCTGGCACTCAGACGGCCACTAGTCCAGTGCTGCAGTGTGCGCACCTACGATCAGTCTTCACGCTCTGCATGGAGACTCTGAACGCTGCTCACTGCTAATTAGCACTTTGCAATGTTTTGCCTTGCATGTGCAATATCCTCAGAATGCTTTCCTATGGGAAAGCATTGGATTTGTTGAGATCAAGATTGGTGATCTAAGCAATGGAGGTGGTGCCAGCTGCGGCAAGACCAGCGAGGGAGAAAAGCGGAGTAAACTCACCTTTTCATTGCACTATGGGGGTGATCACCAAAACCACTCCAGCACTAGTTTTATGAATATGTGGTTTTTTAGAAAACTGTAATGTTCGTTTAAGATCAAATATTATAATGGAGTATTTGTTCTGTTTCTGAACTTGCATTGAGTAGACCTAGTCTCTAACAAAATATTCTGGTCTGCAAAAGGAGAAAAAAATCCTGGTTATTTGAACAGTACAGCACTAGTTGGTAGACTTGTGCAAACATTTGTTTGTCATTTTGTTAGGATTACATGTCTTTTAAACGACACCTAAATGAATCGGTATGTCTGAGATTTACCGTTGAAATCTTATTCAATTAATTTATTAATGCTCGTAACTTCCAAGAACTATGCCAAAGTGTCGCTATTGGACGCTAATATTCCAACTTTTGTGTTCAGCCTTCCAGCCCATGTTCCAAAGTGGATTTGCAATGTTTAACTCCGCCATGCCTGGGAAAGAAGATAAAAGATTTGGTCAATGTGAGGATTTCTCCAAACAATGGATTGACCAGTAAACCGGACACACCTGAACTCAAGGTATGTTTTTGTTTTTTTTTTTTTGTTTTTTTTTGTTCTGTTAACTTCTAATCAAACTTGTTTAGAGAAGTGTGTGTATTTGTAGCTCAATATTTCCACTAGCTTTTGACAAGTGAAAATTTAGTCTTGAAGGGTTTGTCTATAGTTTGCAGTGGGAATTACTTCTAAGGCCTGACTAGTAGGACAGCACTACAAAATACATATGAAGATCTATAACTTCAGGTAGCAGTCTGTATGTCTGGTAAACTCCTCTATGGAATACTTAAACATAATACATTTTAGTGGTTTTAATTTTTTTCTTTTATTATGTGTTGCTTGGTTAGTCATCATAAGTTATTGATTTGTTCTTTTAGGCGCAATCAAAGGAGAATCTTGTGGAACTAAAATCTCGCCTGCAGAGGATTCAGGAATTGACTCAAAAAGTTAAGCTTCCCCCTGCACCTTCAGAGGGAAAAGTTACTCTCGCTGACCTTAAAGCTAGACTAAAGCGTGCTCAGGATCTAGAGTCAAAGATCAGGGAGAAGAAAGCCGAGGAGAAATTAGAGATTCCGGGCACTGATCTGACTGAGCAGACTACAAAGGAAAGGTGAGTGTCTGTCTGAGCCAGTCAATGCTCGCAGTGTCTTTCATTCTTGTTGTAGGGCAAGGTAATAATGCTGTCTCTTTTTTATTTTTTTGATCTAGTGAAAAGGCTCCAGCATACCAGCGTTTCCATAACCTTGCCCAAGACGTTCCTCCTGGTCTTTCTCTTCCTTACAAGTACAAAGTCCTGGGAGAGATGTTCCGCAGCATGGACACAATTGTGAGCATGCTTTTCAACCGCTCGGAGACTGTCACTTTCTCCAAAGTCAAGCAAGGTGTCCAAGACATGATGAGAAAGTAAGTGGGTGTTTTGAGTTATGTAGTTGCATCCTTTCGTTCTATAATTTTATTTTATTTTTTAATTGCTTCTGTATTCTTTCAGGCAATTTGAGGAGCACAACGTGGGTCAAATAAAGACTGTGTATCCAAATGGATACACCTTCAGACAGGAGAAAAACATCCCTACGTTTAAGAATGGGATGAAAAAGACAGACTTTCAGCTTACTATGGAACCTATTCTTGAAGATGGTGAGTTACTTCAGATCAAGCTTTGTATAATTGTGTTGAGACTGCCAATATTAATTATTTAGCAAATTAGTATTAATACTAATATCGGATTTCCTTGGTTTCTCCTACTTACAACTTTTTTTTTTTTTTTTTAACTTTTACTCTCCAGGGGATAAAGTGGATGGATGCCTCCAGCTCACAGCATCGCGCTTGCTACAACGCAGGTGTCTGTTTAACAGGAATCTGATTAGTATAGTCAAGAAGCATCACAAGGTATGTCACGAACAGGCTATTAACTTTCATCATGCTTGCTAGTGGGTAGCTAGTTATTTTGCACAAAAACGACTAATTTCTTGTTTTTCCTAAATGTCCCCTCAAAGAGTGCTAACACACCAGTGTAAAAGGAATAGTAGAAAGTTTTATCATAAACGCCCACTGTTCAAGAAAGTGAATTTCTGTTGACAAATGTAGCTTGTGCTAGATCCATTTTTCTTATTGATCAGAAAATTGCTTCCTTGAATGCTTATATAGTGATTTATTTTTTACTTTAATGTGCTTGCACTAAAACTAATGCTTGTTTGCATGTAGGTGTTCCTGGAAACTTTGGATCCCCCACTGTTGGTGCCAGATGACAAGCTGTCCCGTTGGCATCCACGTTTTAAAGTTGATGAGGTGCCAGAGATCGAAGCAGCTGAACTTCCATTGCCTCCGCAGACAGAGAAACTTACAACTGCTCAAGATGTGTTGTCTAAGGCACGAGGAGTGATGACACCAAAGGTAAGAAGGTTCTGTAAGTTGTCTGCGGTGCCAAAGTATGGCTGGAAACACATCTATAATATGAAATCTGTATTTTTGATCAGTTTTAGCTTTAACTGCAAATTTAATGTATCTTAACTTGGTTATGGTTTGCCAATGATGAATACATATTCAATGTAATCTTATGAACTTACCAATTTAAGTGAACACTGTGCTTTTACTAGGACAGTGCTTAGAATGTATATCTAAACTGCATGACTAAATGGTTTTTCTGACTTCCTGCAGATGGAAAAGGCTTTGGCTAACCTGGCGTTGCGAGCCACGGACACTGGTAGTGCAGAAACTAAACCTGTACCTCCAGTGGAGGATAAACCAAATACATCAAGTGCTCTCAAAGGAGTGTCCCAGTCCCTGCTTGAGAGGGTATGTGTTTAACATTAAGTCGCTTACTAGTTTTATGTAAAACTGTAACAATGCTTTCCAAATGGCTGCCATTTATATATCTTTGCCTTACTGTACTGGATTGACTATATCACTCATACATTGTGGTGATGGCGGTGAGATATGTACATTGGGCGGCAATGTTTGTGACTATCTCCTCAGAACTACCTCAGTATTTCAATTTTTTTGAATAACACCCACATTTGCCTGATGGCTGTAGATTGCAAGCTACTACATTATTGCCCCGTCTTTGATGCTTTTGAAATGCATATGGCATCCTGATGTTACAAGAAATTGTAGTGTTCGAGTGAACTAGTAACTTGTAGCACAAGGATCCGTATAAATACTGAACGCTTGTGGCATGTGTATGTATGTCATGGACATGATTAGGTTAAGGGTATAAGCCTATATGACACAGTACTTTTAACCTCTGTAAATTTGCATCAACTTTATTGTAATTTTCTGTTATAAAATCTACTCTTTGCATGATAAATACACCTAAACTGTTAATAACCATGTGTAGCTTGACTTGCCAAATACATAACTTGTTTCATTTAATATTTACAAAAGATTCGGGCCAAAGAGGCGCAGAAGCTGCAAGCTGTGATGACTCGTCGACCCCAGCAAGAAGAGAAACTCCTCATGATGTCCAGAATGCCAGAGCTGGCACGTATCCTGCGCAATGTGTTTGTGGCAGAAAAAAAGCCTGCGCTGTCGGTTGAGGTAGCTTGCAACAGAGTTATCTCCAGTTACCACTCATCAATGTCTTCAGGTGAGCTTATCCTCCACACTAAAACAATCTATAATTTTAAAAAATGTTTGCACCCTCCAATCCGAATTGGTGCATTGTTCAGTAACAGAATTTTGCATGGCAGCTCTAAGCCAGCATTCATACTAATGAAAGTATGGAGAAAGTGTATGACCCCTGCATATGTTATCAGCAGATGGAAATGTCTAGTTAAGTGTGGTGGTGGGAAGACTAAGTCCAAATACACTGTATGGTTAGAAGGGGTAAACGGGCACAGTCTGTGAGGCAGATGGAAGAATGCTGAAAGCACTAGTATATTGGTAATTAACCATAACTTGATAGTTGCTAGAGTGCTGAGAATGGACAACTGCTCAATAAGCCTGCCCTTTTTTGGGTCCCTGCTTAGTTCTTAAGCTGGTTTTAGCTCATTTTGTGCCATTACAGAGAAATCCAGGCCATGTATCTTGCACTGATTCAATCCAAAAGGGTAGAACAGATCCAGAATATAGGCCAGCACTCTACTAATAATCCTACTGAGTGGCTGTCTCTCTCGTGCAGTTATATGGCACTAACCTCTTCAGCCGCACTTTCAAGTTGTCTTGCCCAGTGACAATTGCTGGTAAGGTTGCCAGATTGGAATAGCTGGCTATGCAGAGATCAGTCTCTCGAACTCAGAAGAAATTCTAACATTTCAGACGTTTGTTTTAATGCAAGCTGTACATTTAAGGTATTTGGAAAATATTTTAAGTCATCCTTTTGCCAGTCATTGTGTTAAATTGTACTTTATTTCCTATACAGGAGAAATGGAGAAACATCTTGCATTTTTATCAGAACTTCTTCCTGATTGGCTAAGCATTCATCCAGTACGAAAGGACACCTACTATAAACTAAATAAACATACAGACCTTAATCTAATCATGGAACGTCTGGCCAAGGCTGTGAAAGAAGAAGAATTAAAGTGAACATACTGGTATCCCCCTCTCAGAGTGCTTTCTTTCTCCCCTCTACAAGCAACTATTTTTACTGAAAGACTTGGTACCACAGACATTTGATTCTACAATTCATCCCCTTACTTTCCATGATCATCATTCTGTTGAACTGAACTTCTTCGTCTGAAAGGCAAATGTGGACTGCAGTTTAGTGCAAATTGCTTCAAATCATGATTTTAACTTTTTTTTTTTTTGCATTTTTCTTATACCAATACTAGGATTAAGGAAAAAAAAATCAAAACGTTATTGGGAATTCACAATGGTTCCAGTCAACGTAGTCCCACTGATAAACGTAAACATTTCTGAGGGTTTGCTATATGATAAATCCGTGTCCTCTTAATGGAATACAATCATATGTAAACAGGGGTGCGTTTTTAGTTCTGTTCCAGTTTGCATTCTGAAGAAAATCAAATCCTCTTGGTGTCTCTGAATAGCATGTTGGCACCTTTCTTAAAGATCAATTATGGGACAAAAGTTCTAGAAGTGGGAACATGTTTGCACCACTTCTAGCACTTTGACCCAGAACTGATCTTTCCACAATAACTAGTTTTAACTGTTACACTATTTCCATTAGTTGCTAGGTTTGTCACTACAACTGACGTGAGATTTTTGGGGTGATAATGTAATGGGAGTTGTCCATGATATAAAGTGACATAGGTTTGCCATCTGGTTATGGAGCTAAACAAACATTTTGCACATGTAAATAAGTGGTTTTTTGTATCTACTGGTTATTGTGTTTTTATTACTGTGAAAAGCAAATGTTCTTGTTCATTGAAGTGCTCTTTGGATTAAACAAATTTGCAATATATTGCTTGTCTTTCATTTTTGATTATATTGGACATGTCTCACTTTTACTAATGTAAGATGGTGAACAGTGCATTAGTCGCATTCTCAAATGCTCCCATGTTCCTTTTTATAGATACATTTTCAAAGCTTTCATTTTGTAATGATGTATTTTCTCTTTAGCAGAAATATTTACTTGAGCTGGGATGTATCTGGGAACATGCAGAGGTGGATGTAGATCGACTTATCTTGTATGCACCTTGGTAAAGAATCCAACCCAGAAAGACATGCAAAGTCCTACAAATGTTAGAAGTCAAGGTGGATAGAATTGTCTGATATGCACTTTCATTAACCGTCTGCATTTCATTTATTTTGCAATATGAAGTCTCGTGCATAAAGCCTCACTCACACTTTTTTTTTTTTTTTTAATACAGAGTAGCAGCCTGTAGAATAATGCATTTCTCTCCTAGAAGTCACTAATGTATCTGAAAGTTTAATCTCACACCCTGCAGGCAAACAGTAGATGAAGCATCAATGTAGCATATCATTCCTATGGTCAGGGAGGGGTAGGAGTGGTTGTGTTTTTTGTTTGTTTTTGGGGGGGGGCATTACTTGAGCAGTACAGAGACTGCTTTCATTGTAGAAATCTAATTTAACATTAGGGAGCAATTTTTGTACAGAGATTATAAAATTAGTGGTTTGAGGCACATTTTGAGAAAATGTATGAACTTGTAGCAGTGATTGTACAAGGTGCCTTATTAGTTGTATGAAAACAGAGTAAAGCAAACTTTGGGGTAAGTGACATCCTCACCATAAGTTCATCTAATAGTGAAAATAAAAGTGCATGGTCTGAAGATGCACTAGTGCAGTGATGGCTAACCGTGACACCATAAATTTGTTTCTGGACCACCTTTCCCATGATGCTTAGCTAGCTTTTAGAGTTTACTACTGATGCGTAGACCACCTAATCATGAATACTGAGCCACAATTCACAGAATGAGACCTACAATGCACAGATATCACAACATAGGGGGAAAGGGTGAAATATTTTTTTTTTTTTTTTGTATAGGTATGACGAGTGCTTAGTGCTAGTGAAAACCAACCCATTAGCAAAGAGCCTAATGAAATGTAGAAAACGTTTATGAATGGCTGTGTGGTGGGTGTATATAGCTGGAATCTGCAACAAAACTGCATGTCTTTTCTACCTTTTTACCCAAGCTAGGGAAGATCTAGTGCAGCAAAGTGAGCCCAGGGCAGGCCTTAATGAGAATTGATACTTTGTCCACGGACCCTTCCACTCGAGGTGCTTTGGTTGAAGACCTGGGTAGGTTACCGACATTGGAAAGCCTGAGTTTGTGAATGGTGTCGTCTAGGATTAGAACCCTTCTGGGTTACTGGCCCAGATATTGAGAAATGGACTGACCTCACTAGGATCTGATTGTCGATCAGGAGGGACAGATTGTTCCTACGAGCATTAAGGTGAAGCATACAAACGTTATCGAATGCCAAAATAAATTATCTTCCCTTCTCTGCAGTAGGATTCGGGGCCCTAGTAAACTGAAGCCAGCAAGTTCCTGTCAAGGAGATCAGCTGCCACTCCCCTCAAAGCACACACTAGACAAAGTCTAAAGGACCGGAGCTCTAGGAGAACAGGGGAGAAATTGTAAATTCACAAAAGTGCTTGATGGCTAAAATACTCTGATCTCTGCAAGGATAGTTCAATCTACAAAAACAGCACATCATCCATTATCCAGCTATGAGCGAGGAACTCACTGCGTGTCTGTCTGACATCAGGGTTAGGCCCACCGAGGGTTCTTAGAAATGTCTATAGGCAATATATTTTTTTTTTTTTTTTACCTGTCTGAGAAAATGGCACTTGAATATTAACATTTAAGACCCAGTGCTAGGTAAAGGATACTGTAAACTTTTCATCTCCCAAATATTTAAAATATTTGTCTGGAAAGCAATCCTTTGCTTCAAATAAATGTTATGCTTTAGATGGTAAGCTGACAGGCAGGGTTGTCGACTTGTATCGTCTGTTCTTATTGTGCTTGTCTTTTTCCCCCAATTGTACAGCGCTACAGAATACGTTGGCACTTTATGCCGCTAATAAATAATGGTTTACGCAACAGGTGTTGGCAGTGAAGGGGTTAAAGGGCACTACTACTCTGAATTAGCCCTGCAAGTCTGAATATGGACTCCTTTAGCTATGAGATAGGAGGCAGGGTTTGACCAGCTCTGGAAAATTAAAAGATCAGATTTAGACAGGGAACCCACATCCATCCACAGTAGCAATGGTGAGCTCAAGCCATGATGTCACAGTTCAATTTCTTAAACTAGAAAAACTACTTGAATTGAAAGAGCTTAACTGCCCCACTCCCCCACCCAAATAGAATCATTACAGCTCTAGGTCAACCCAGCATTGCCTCCAGTGAGGTATATTAGATCCTGAAAACCCAGTTTAAAAAAAAAAAAAAAAATCTAAGGAAAAGTGTAGTGGTTATGTGATCAATAAGTTTTGATTTTTGTCCTCGATAGTTCTGATATCGCGTATTCTTTGAAAAGTAGGTGTACACAATACCATGTCAATAGTATTGATGCATATAATTTATTTAATCTCAATTATGTGAAGGTAAAATAAATTGACCAAATAGCATATTGGTGCAAAAACAAAAGTCATATAGAAGCTGTTTTACCCGTGCAAAAGCTCCACTTTACACTATTGTGTTCCATTATTGCATAAATACTCAAGCTACCACTGTAGGTCGGTCCTAGGACATAGCCAATTTCAGAGAGGGTAGGATAATAAAAATCTGTCCAAGACGTTATGTGCGCCACACAGAGTTTGTGAAGATAACTTTTTGGATTACCGTGCTATCTACCGGTTATGCTTCCATGCAGGAAAAACACCCCCTTTCATAATATATAGAATTTTTGCCATGTAAAACAAATGGATACAAGTGCAAAAGAGAATTGAGGGGATGTCTGCCTCAAACAGAGACATCTGTATAGACAGAGCTTTTACTTACATCCATGCAATCGTTGTCTTTGCCAGTAACAAGGGGTGGGATATAGTTTTTCCATACAGGGACTTCCATTGAAGAAACTTGTTAGATTGATTTTCCATGTCCTGAATTTGTGCCATATTAAGAAAGACTTGCTGCTCCAGGACTAAATAAGACCATTTTTGTACACACTTTATTCCATTCACTGTACTGTAAAAAGCATTTCTTGCAAGTAAACACACATTCTAGGCAGTGCAGAGTACAGTTCTGCCATTGCAGTATCAGTTTAGACAGTCTAGATCAGGAACCAACTAATCATATTTTAGCAGTGAATGTGTTCTGTAAGGCTTCAGCTTGTCTGCGCCATGTAAAGATAGCAACTCGATCAAGACTAAACAGTCGAGGATCTCTGCCTGCCTTCGTTTTATCAATTCACATGCTGCGCTCAGTGTCCCTGTAAGATAGAGAAACAGATCTCTTTAATATAATTAGAGGCAATAAACAGTAAGAGATCAGTACAGAACTGTGATGGTGCTGAATTCAACAGCCTTGATCCATTCTACCAATGTAAACTGTATGTGAGAATTCTGGGTAATACGCAGCAGCTGCGAAGAAAGCATTTGGGGCTATTTAATTTTGCATTAAAGGGACACTCTGCTGCCCACGTACAAAATAAAAACACAGCAGTGTTTAGTAGTGTACCCCAAACAAAAACATTTTGTTATACACCAATAAGAAGATGCATATCTATCAACAGCTTGCAAAACCTGCAGTTCTCGTCTACATCCTTTGCAAACCCTCCAATTCCACCAAACCTGCTTCTAATCGGGTCTTATCTCTGGAATGTAGACACTTGACTCAATACAACACATGGTATGTATGTCATTTAGAAAGTCCTACAAATACAAAATGCTTCCAAAAACGTTTGCCATAATGTAAGTCAATGACTGTAAATTGTCCTCAAACAGTACAATCCAAAGGTTTGTAGTTTGTCAAATCTTAATTTGACATTTCTATCCATAGTTTTTTTTTTTTTATTTATATTTGTATTTTATTGGTGTTTTCACAATGTAAAATACATCTGGTACACAATATGAAAAGTTATAAAGTTTACACAGCAACTCTAATAAGTTGAAATAACGATAGGACAACATGTGTACTAGTGGCTGATATTTGGATCGCTGTGTGGTGTTGTTTATATTAAGCTATATGGGTTGAAAAGCAGGAGTACCTCTAATGCGGTCTCAGCTTGGCCCCTCCATTATATCATGGGAAGTTATCTCTGTGTTTAGGTCGTTGAGAGGGTTTAGCTACTGCTTACCAGGCATCAAATGGGTACGTATTTATGAAGTGTGGGCAACTATTGTGTGTCTCGCTTCTAATTACTGGTAAGGTAACCTCGGAGGGCCTCTATGAGTGTGGTGTGTCTCCAAGTGGCGTGGTTTGGCTAGGAGTCGGGCCTGGGGGTTTAATGGGTGAACTCTGTTGGGTCCCTGTGTATCTATTTTCAACTTCTGGGCTTCCACTGGGATCTTTGCGTTCAGTTTCAGTCTTTGGAGGAAAGTCTCTTTGTCCTCAGGAGAAGAGAGGGTGAGTACGTCATTTCCTTGTGTTACCTGCAGGGAGCCATCCACCCCCCACCGATATCTGATCAACGCCTCTCTCAGCTGTCTGGCCACCGGTGTTAACTGTCTCTTGACTGCGAGGACGGCAAAAGGGATGTCCCCGTATATGGCTATGTCATAGCCTTCGAAGTGTATGGTTCCCAGCTCTCTTGATTTGGCCATAATCGCAGATCGAACTGCAATGTCCTTGGTCGCGGCAATTATGTCTCTTGGTGCGTCTGTAGGGGCAGCTGCGGCTTTGCGGACCCGGAATGCTGATGTTAGTGCCTCTGAGCCTGTGTTGCCTCCTATTCCCAGCGAGGCAATGAAGCGTCGGAGGAAGGGCATTGTTGCATCGCCGTCGACGTGCTCTGGGATGCCGCGGAGGCGGATATTCCTCCTTCTGTGCCTGGACTCCATCACTAACATCGACTTGGTGAGTTTCTGTACCTGCTCTGTTAATTCTTGCAGATTGTTGTGGTTGTCCTGCACTTTCTGGTCCCTAGCTACTTCTTTTGTTTCGATCTCTGTGACCCGTTGTTTGAGGGTCCCTATCTCCGTGCGCGTGTCTAGGAGGTCAGCCTTCCACACACGTCGCATGTCCAGCAGGAGATTTTTAATGTCTCTCTTTGTTGCCGGCGAAGAGTCTTCATCTGACTGACTCATTAGAGGGGGTCCCCTCCGATTGTGAGGCCGGGGCTTCCTCCTCCTCCTGATAGTTCTCTAGTGCCTCATCCTCGCTAGGCAAGTCGGGCGCCATTTTGGCTGGGCCCCGCGGTGTGGGCCTCTCTAAGGATAGTCTGATATCCTGCATTTTTGGAGCCTCTGGAAGACGAGGTTTCCTGTTTTTTCGCCCCATTGTGTCTTCTGAGTGAGGGTAGTTGTCTCTCAGCGTGTTTCGGAGTCTGTTTTCCGTATTTAAAACGTTTTTTTTGAGATTCTGGGACGGAGCTCTGTTTAAACACGTCTTCTCTGGTGCTCGGTTGGCCACGCCCCCCCTATCCATAGTTTTTAAGACCCCTGCAATACAAGGGAATCAGGCTGAGGACTGGCTCCCTGCTTACAGGTGTGTATACTCTTACCTCATTCAGTCACATCAGATGTGTTTGCTTTACCCATTACATGACAAATACCATTAGCCCTGTGAGTTTATCATGACAAGCAGTATCTCTCACACTTCCTATGGATTAGAGGGCCCTTTGCAATCCAAGTCTCAGCAACCATAACCCAGTTGGGTTTTGCTCCAGAGTGATTGGTGTTCTGACTGCACAACCTGTCTCATCTCTTTAAATCAAGACTAATACTGTTGCTGAATCGATTTATTTCTGAACGTTATACCCATCTATCTATTGAGATGAATTAGAATGGTCTTCCCCAACAATATACAGTTGTTGATCCGTTCCACCTGAAGACAAGTTTTTCTTCTGTGCTATACTTTGTGGATTCATTGGCCATTATTTATCCAAAGGCTTAACTGGAAGATTAAAAATGATGGACCATTAAACAGTGGGCTCCCATGGTGAAGCCCAAACCTACTCCTGCAAAAACTCCACAGCACCTGGGACCTGCAATCGTGCCCTGACATACTGCAATGGCAACACACATGTGAACGGTTTACCTCCTGTGGCAAGCAGATCATCAATGATCACTACTTTCTGGCCAGGATGAACTGCATCTTTCTGAACCTCAAGTTCAGCCTGAAAAGATACAGAGAAATAAAGGTTAAGATTATAGTTTCAATGCAACAACTCCCCCAAAAGCAAACCATGTCATCTTTCCCCCCCTGCCAAGGTTTACAAGCCATATAATGAATGGAATAAAAGGTGCTACAATAAAACCTTTAGGTGTAATGTCACTTTTTACACTAAAATAAATCAAAACAAAAACAGGATAAAAAGAGAGACAGTGTGCAGACAGTGCCTATAGTTACCAATACAATTGTACATTCATAAAATATACAGGAATAAATGTCTCCTATAAGGTAAATGTGAAGAAATCCCTCTTTATGTTCGGTATTTCTCCACTTTTTCATTCGGTAGATGTAACTACCGAACAGAGACCACCCCCCTGGCACGTTAACTACAAAGCATGCCTCAATTGAACCCTCTACCGGTGCGGCCATCGTTCGTACTGCCGAACGTCACGTGGCTGAGAAAACGTTGGCCATTTTTTTTTGTGCAAACAAAGGCAGCGGGACTTGGTCGTCGAGTGTCTGGGGATTCGTATGCTTTAAGGGAATCATCTTGTAAAGCCATTGTATTCGTATGGATTTTGTTTATTTCAACTGTCGAACGGAGAGCTATAATCACCGATACTCTGGCCGTTCGGAAGGAAACTACCGAATGAGGATTGGATATACTAGATTTCCTTACAGTAAACATAAAAGAACACATCATAGTGTAACATGCTAGGTGTTAATATTTGAACATATCCCAAACAGGAAACTCACACTTTGTAGAGCCTATTAAAAGTCGACTGAACTTAGAAGCAATTCCCAGCCGGATCATTTCACCTCCTTGTACTGGTGGAGCTCCTTTTGTGATTGTGATTCAGAGTCACAAAACACGTTGTGCTTTTATTGCTATGCTCACGTTTTGATTTGTTTTTACTTCATGTGTACTTAAAAAAAAGGGACACTATAGGCATCCAGACTACTTCAGCTTATTAAAGTGGTCTGGGTGCACTGGGACTGCACTAATCACAATTGCAGGGTAAAGAGGACCGGGACGGTCCTCTTAACCATGCAATTGTGATTAGTGCAGTCACTGATTAACTGCAACAGTTACCTTGCAGTGTTTTTAACCCTTCCAGTGCCACGGAACAACTTTGACAGACAGACATACATACATTTTCCCTTTACCGGAATAATTATTCCACATCTATACTGTGACTCCAAATTCCTTTTCTCAATTGGAGCTCTAAAAATTACCCTAACTATTCTTGACAAAACAGCAATTTTCTACCCCCCCAAAAAATATCCAAATTAAAGTACATTGCATTCTAACTCGACCAGTTATCCTAACAGAAGATGCTTGCGACACGTTGTGGTTTAAGTGACAGAACCGCAGTCTGTATATAACTTGTACAGCAATCTAACAGTTGCCATTATTTTCTGCAACATACATAGACGCCCAGAAGTGTCAGGCTCCTGGTGTTGGCTATGAAGTATTGCTTTAATTCACTGCATACCTTTCCATATTCCAAGGTGTAAGACACCGATTCCGTTGGTCCCGGTAGTTTACCTTTCTTACGAATCATGATAAAGCCAATGCCAAACCTCTGTGCAAGCGCTGGGCCAAACAGGAAGCCACGGGAGTCAATGCCTGGAGGAGAGTATCAGTATGTTAGTAAAATTAACTGGTATGGAATTAATACTCCCCACCCAGCAACCTTATATTTACGGATTTAAATTTGAAACACGTTGTATTTAATGTATCTGGAGCCAAATTAAGATAAGTAAAAACTTTGTTTGCAGGTTCACTTTAAGAGATATAGTTACGATCGTTAGGACTCCTTGCAGACTGGGTTGGCTACAATTCCCATCAATCTATCAAAACAAGAAAAAATGGCCAGGCTCTTAAATGTGCAACATGCAGACTTTAATTAGAATGTAACGGTAGCATTTCGACTCTCGGCTAAAGCCTCAAACCAATATATTTTCTTCCTTGTGATACAGGCTTACTATAAAACCCTAACCAGCCCAGTTTAAAAGCTATGGACGACTGACTTACCCGCACAATATATCTCTGAGTAGTTTGTCCAAGAGAGGTGATTCCCTACAAAGAGGTCAATGGCAAGCCCTGAAGACCACTGGGTCTTTGAGAACACAAGTGATGTCCCTAGTAAAAAGCAATAAGCAAATAAAACATTATCCTTGTTCTATTCAAGAACGCATAGTGCTAATAAACTGGTGTAAACAAGAAACCATTGGAAGATGTAGTTACAATAATGTATGTGCCCCATGCCAGGTGGCTGAGGGTATAGCAGTTTATAGCAGGTGATTTAGCGGGTAGTGGGATTTAGCAGGGTAGGGGTGATTTAGCTAAAGTTTGCTTTCAGTGGGTGGTGGATTTAGCTGGGGGATGGTGTGGGTGATTTGCCGGAAAGTGGTAAAGTGATTTAGCTGGGGGGGGGTGCAGGGTGATTTAGCTGGGGGGGTGCAGGGGTGATTTAGCTGGGGGTGCAGGTGATTTAGCTGGGGTAGGGGTGATTTAGCTGGGGTGTAGTGATTACTGGGGTGCAAGTGATTTAGGGGGTGCAGGGTGATTTAGCTGGGGGGTGCAGGGTGATTTAGCTGGGGGTGCAGGGGCGGGATTTAGCTGGGGTGCAGGGGTGATTTAGCTTAAAGTGGTGCGACTTAGCTTGGGGTGCAGTGATTTAGCCGGGGGTGCAGGGGTGATTTAGCTAAAGTGTGTGATTTAGCTGGGGGTGCAGGGGTGATTTTAGCTGGGGTGCGGCAAGTGATGAAGCTGGGGGGTGAAAGTGATTTAGCTGGGGTGGCAGTTATTTAGTTAGGGGTGGCAGTGATTTAGTTAGGTGCAGCAGTTATTAGTTAGGGGTGCAGCAGTTATTTAGTTAGGGGTGCAGCAGTTGGTTTAGTTGGGGGCAGGGTGATTTAGCAGGGGGGAGGAGGGGGTGTAGCACTCAGTGTCAGTGTCAGGATCCAGTGACCCCTGGTAAACCCTGGGTTAATAATCCCTGCCTGTCTCCAGGCTATGTGGCTGCACACGTGGGACCCCCGTTACCTGAAGAGGATGCCGGGGGAGGGGAAGTCACTGAACTCCCTGATAGAAACCCGGAGCAGCTCTTCCTTCTGCTGATAATCCATCCTCAGTTCTGACCGGTAACCACGTGACTCCACCCAGGAACTGGTCTCAACGGATTCGAACGCATGGACCCGGAAATCTGACACAAACCACGCCCACTGGGCGTGGCCATCAAATGGAGCCACACGTGGGCAGAGCCTCCAGGGTGCACTGGGTCCTAGTGCCCCCAGCTTGTCCTCTCAGCTCAGAGTGACTGACAGGGCAGCCTCCAATGACTGAGACCCCCATTATTAACCCTTTACTGACTGCACTCCCTGACAGAGTGACTGAGACCCCCATTATTAACCCTTTACTGACTGCACTCCCTGACAGAGTGACTGAGACCCCCATTATTAACCCTTTACTGACTGCACTCCCTGACAGAGTGACTGAGACCCCCATTATTAACCCTTTACTGACTGCACTCCCTGACAGAGTGACTGACAGGGCAGTCTCCAGTGACTGAGACCCCCATTATTAACCCTTTACTGACTGCACTCCCTGACAGAGTGACTGAGACCCCCATTATTAACCCTTTACTGACTGCACTCCCTGACAGAGTGACTGAGACCCCCATTATTAACCCTTTACTGACTGCACTCCCTGACAGAGTGACTGAGACCCCCATTATTAACCCTTTACTGACTGTACTCCCTGACAGAGTGACTGACAGGGCAGTCTCCAGTGACTGAGACCCACATTATTAACCCTTTACTGACTGCACTCCCTGCCAGAGTGACGGAGACCCCCATTATTAACCCTTTACTGACTGCACTCCCTGACAGAGTGACTGAGACCCCCATTATTAACCCTTTACTGACTGCACTCCCTGACAGAGTGACTGAGACCCCCATTATTAACCCTTTACTGACTGCACTCCCTGACAGAGTGACTGACAGGGCAGCCTCCAATGACTGAGACCCCCATTATTAACCCTTTACTGACTGCACTCCCTGCCAGAGTGACTGACAGGGCAGCCTCCAATGACTGAGACCCCCATTATTAACCCTTTACTGACTGCACTCCCTGACAGAGTGACTGAGACCCCCATGATTAACCCTTTACTGACTGTACTCCCTGACAGAGTGACTGACAGGGCAGTCTCCAGTGACTGAGACCCCCATTATTAACCCTTTACTGACTGCACTCCCTGACAGAGTGACTGAGACCCCCATTATTAACCCTTTACTGACTGCACTCCCTGACAGAGTGACTGAGACCCCCATTATTAACCCTTTACTGACTGCACTCCCTGACAGAGTGACTGAGACCCCCATTATTAACCCTTTACTGACTGCACTCCCTGACAGAGTGACTGACAGGGCAGTCTCCAGTGACTGAGACCCCCATTATTAACCCTTTACTGACTGCACTCCCTGACAGAGTGACTGAGACCCCCATTATTAACCCTTTACTGACTGCACTCCCTGACAGAGTGACTGAGACCCCCATTATTAACCCTTTACTGACTGCACTCCCTGACAGAGTGACTGAGACCCCCATTATTAACCCTTTACTGACTGCACTCCCTGCCAGAGTGACTGACAGGGCAGCCTCCAATGACTGAGACCCCCATTATTAACCCTTTACTGACTGCACTCTCTGCCAGTCACCCCACACTGAATTTACTCCAGGTTTTGTATTTTAGCCCAAGTTCTTCTTATTGGATTTCAAGTTTTTGCCATAATTCATTGTTTGGTGAATAAAACCCAGGGGTTGGGACTAGAGCAATACAATATAGCTGTCCATAAGCATCAGAGCCAGTCCTGCTACTTGTAAGTGATTATGGTGCATTGAGTTCCCTTGGCCCTCTCTACCTGCACTGACAGGGAGCACTGACTGTCCCAGGATATTATACACACAGACCTGTATTATACAGATAGCGGCACTATACAGGGATCACTGACTGTCCCAGGATATTATACACAAGGACCTGTGTTATACAGAGAACAGCACTATACAGGGATCACTGACTGTCCCAGGATATTATACACACAGACCTGTGTTATACAGAGAACAGCACTATACAGGGATCACTGACTGTCCCAGGATATTATACACACAGACCTGTGTTATACAGAGAACAGCACTATACTGGAAGCACTGACTGTCCCAGGATATTATACACACAGACCTGTATTATACAGATAGCGGCACTATACAGGGAGCACTGACTGTCCCAGGATATTATACACAAGGACCTGTGTTATACAGAGAACAGCACTATACTGGAAGCACTGACTGTCCCAGGATATTATACACACAGACCTGTGTTATACAGATAGCGGCACTATACAGGGATCACTGACTGTCCCAGGATATTATACACAAGGACCTGTGTTATACAGATAGCAGGACTATACAGTGAGTACTGACTGCCCCGTGATATTATACAGACATGTGTTTTACAGAGAGCAGCACTATACAGGGAGCACTGACTGTCCCAATTTATTATACACACAGACCTGTGTTAGTCAGAGCTCCCTGTATAGTGCTGCTCTCTGTATGTCTCAGGATATTATACACACAGACCTGTGTTATACAGAGAACAGCACTATAAAGGGAGCACTGACTGCCCCAGGATATTATGCACACAGACCTGTATTATACAGAGAGCAGCACTATACAGGGAGCACTGACTGTCCCAATTTATTATACACACAGACCTGTGTTAGAGCTCCCTGTATAGTGCTGCTCTCTCTATGTCTCAGGATATTATACACACAGACATGTGTTATACAGAGAACAGCATTATACTGGGAGCATTGACTGTCCCAGGATATTATACACACAGACCTATATTATACAGAGAGCAGCACTATACAGGGAGCACTGACCGTCCTCAGGATATTATACACACAGTCCTGTATTATACAGAGAGCAGCACTATACAGGGAGCTCTGACTGTCCCAGGATATTATACACAGAGACCTGTATTAGACAGAGAGCAGCACTATACATGGATCACTGATTGTCCCAGGATGACATACACACAGACCTGTGTTATACAGAGAGCAGGACTATACAGTGAGTACTGACTGCCCCGTGATATTATACAGACATGTGTTTTACAGAGAGCAGCACTATACGGGGAGCACTGACTGTCCCAGGATATTATACACACATACCTGTATTATACAGAGAGCAGCACTATACACTATACAGGGAGCACTGACTGTCCCAGGATATTATACACACAGACCTGTATTATAGAGAAAGCAGCACTATACAGGGAGAACTGACTGTCCCAGATTATTATACACACAGACCTGTACTATACAGAGAGCAGCACTATACAGGGAGCAATGACTGTCCCAGGATATTATACACAGAGACCTGTATTAGACAGAAAGCAGCACTATACATGGATCACTGATTGTCCCAGGATGACATACACACAGACCTGTGTTATACAGAGAGCAGGACTATACAGTGAGTACTGACTGCCCCGTGATATTATACAGACATGTGTTTTACAAAGAGCAGCACTATACGGGGAGCACTGACTGTCCCAGGATATTATACACCCATACCTGTATTATACAGAGAGCAGCACTATACACTATACAGGGAGCACTGACTGTCCCAGGATATTATACACACAGACCTGTATTATAGAGAAAGCAGCACTATACAGGGAGAACTGACTGTCCCAGATTATTATACACACAGACCTGTACTATACAGAGAGCAGCACTATACAGGGAGCAATGACTGTCCCAGGATATTATACACAGAGACCTGTATTAGACAGAAAGCAGCACTATACATGGATCACTGATTGTCCCAGGATGACATACACACAGACCTGTGTTATACAGAGAGCAGGACTATACAGTGAGTACTGACTGCCCCGTGATATTATACAGACATGTGTTTTACAAAGAGCAGCACTATACGGGGAGCACTGACTGTCCCAGGATATTATACACCCATACCTGTATTATACAGAGAGCAGCACTATACACTATACAGGGAGCACTGACTGTCCCAGGATATTATACACACAGACCTGTATTATAGAGAAAGCAGCACTATACAGGGAGAACTGACTGTCCCAGATTATTATACACACAGACCTGTACTATACAGAGAGCAGCACTATACAGGGAGCAATGACTGTCCCAGGATATTATACACACAGACCTGTGTTATACAGAGAGCAGCACTATACAGGGAGCTCTGACTGTCCCAGGATATTATGCACACAGACCTGTATTATACAGAGAGCAACAATATTCATGGAACACTGACTGTACCAGGATATTATTTACACAGACTTGTATTATGCCTAGAGCGGCACTATACGAGGAGCACTGACTGTCCCAGCTTATTATACACACAGACATGTATTATAGAGAGAGCAGCATTATACAGGGAGCACTGACTGTCCCAGCTTAATATACACACATACCTGTAATATACAGAGAGCAGTACTATACAGGGATCAATGACTGTTCTAGGATATTATACACACACAGACCTGTATTATACAGAGAGCAGCACTATACAGGAAGCACTGACTGTCCCAGGATATTATACACACAGTCCTGTATTATACAGAGAGCAGCACTATACAGGGAGCTCTGACTGTCCCAGGATATTATGCAGACAGACCTGTATTATACAGAGAGCAACAATATTCATGGAACACTGACTGTACCAGGATATTATTTACACAGACTTGTATTATGCCTAGAGCGGCACTATACGAGGAGCACTGACTGTCCCAGCTTATTATACACACAGACATGTATTATAGAGAGAGCAGCATTATACAGGGAGCACTGACTGTCCCAGCTTAATATACACACATACCTGTAATATACAGAGAGCAGTACTATACAGGGATCACTGACTGTTCTGGGATATTATACACACACAGACCTGTATTATACAGAGAGCAGCACTATACAGGAAGCACTGACTGTCCCAGGATATTATACACTCAGACCTGTATTCTACAGAGAGCAGCACTATAGTATTATATAGATAGCTGAGCATATACTGTCATGTTACATATTGTTTTATTATAATGTACTGTTTATTTAATGTTCATCTTAAGTTTGTCCCTTGGGCCTCTCCATAGTTTGCATGCTGCTCCAGGTACTCCCCTATCCTTTTTTCTGTTCTAGTGTATTCTATGTTGTACATTCATATGTGACTTGTATCTCTCCTAACCTGTATGGAAGAATTGTTCTTTTACCTGTAGTAACTGCACATCCTACAGATCATATGACGAATAAACCCCGCCAGATCTTCTTACATGTGAGTTGTGACTGAGTAAACTATCTGGGAAGGTGATTTGGTATGGATAATCTCATCAGGGCAATGAGCGCCATGTGCTCCTGAAAAATACATTCATAGCCTCTGCAGCCGGTCCAGAATAGTAAAAGAACGTATCCAGCAGCTTGTACAGAGATTGCTGTGTCACAGGACAGATCATAGTGAAGTGTAACTGTGTGTATTGTATGAGAAGTCTGCATACAACCCCAGCACAGCTTGTTACAGCCCCACACAGTATACAGACACACTTCACTGCTACAGCCAAGCCTGTGTACCTCCGGCCATCATGAGTGGAAAAGGCTCAGTATGTGATGAAACACCACGAACTGGCATGCACCACATGGAGAAAGCCAGTATGAGGACCCAGAGCCCAGTGCATTGGCTAAACGCTCTGTGAAACCCACATGGAAGGTTAAAGAGAACTATGAATCCATGAGAACTGAGCTAGCAACCAGTTTGAAGCAGATTTGGGATAAAATCCTCACCTACATTGATGTGATTTCATGTCCCAGCCATGAGGTACTGCAACTAGAGGGTGCCATAAAACATCTCTCTGCTTCATATGAACTGTGCCAGACTACAAGCAATAAATATATAACTATTCTGCAAAACATTAACACTGAGGAATCATTAGAGCAACTTAACAATGTCCAGCTTCTTAACATGGAAAGAGAAAGCTTTATCCTGCTAACTAAAGCAAAGGCAGAAGCAAAATTAACGCAGCCACAGGACACTGTATCTCACAGATCCGTATCCACCAGACATTCTAAAGGTTCCTCTAGATCCCGAAGTTCAAGGCACTCAACGCTTAGTGAACAGCTTATAAATGACCGTGCCGAAGCAGAGGCTAGCAAAGTACAGGCTGCATATGCTAAAAAGAGAGCAGACATGGAGGCTGAGGCTGCAGCAATGCAAGCCGAAGCGGCAGCAATGGAAGCTGAGGCAGCATCTAAAGCAGCACGTCAAAGGGCAGCAATTGAAGCTTTAAAGGAACAGAGCAACTACGAGGCAGCTGAAGCAAGACTAAAGATTTTGGAACAAGCTATCGGTGCAGATGAAAATGCTAGTGAAAGGGTCAGCGTCAAGGCAGATGTGGAAGATCCATTCGAACGCACTAAGAACTATGTTCTAAACCACAGCAGCGAGCACTCAATTGCCTCCATTCTGCACGACAACGCAAGGACTTCGCCACACCACCAGGCAAAAGCTGTTCCAGCAACTTCCAACATGCAAAACCACCCCAGTGCCTGACTGTCATGCTGATTCTGCATATGTCACAGAATTGCACGCCAATCTGCAAGCAAGTCACCAACCTCCTGCTAATAGTACCGTTCCAGACTTTAACCCAACAACTCTGAACACCCTTGTTGCACCATATCTTCCGAAGTCTTTTCACAACAATGCCATAAACAACGCAATCCGCAACATTCAACCAGTGACCTCCTACGTAAAGTCAGAGGCAACTGATACAGGAGAGTTCGTAAAGTATATACTTCGACGAGAGCTCACCAAGTCAGGCCTAGTAAGCTTCGATGACCATCCCGAAAACTACAGAAGCTGGAAAGCTGCCTTTAAAACTACTATAGGTAATCTTGGTATTAGTGCTGCTGAGGAGCTGGATCTGCTGATCAGGTGGCTTGGCCCACAATCTACAGAACGTGTCAAGAGCCTCAGGTCAGTCTACATCGACAATCCAACTGCAGGTCTCACCGCTGCATGGGAGCGTCTAGAACAGAGTTATGGTAGTCCTGAAGCCATAGAGAATGCATTGCTCAAACGATTGGAAAATTTCCCAACGATATCCGGTAAGGATAACAAAGAGTTCCAGAGACTCAGTGACCTTCTTCTCGAAGTCCAGCTTGCCAAAACTGACCCTAAACTACCGGGCCTCAGTTACCTGGACACTGCTCGAGGAGTTAACCCTATCATTTACAAGCTTCCGTATGGCCTACGAGAAAAGTGGATCCAAATTGGGTCAAAATACAAACGGGAAAACAAGTGTGTGGGGAAGACCACCGTGACAAGTCTTGTGCTAAAATATGCCTAGTGAATGTTCACCACAAGGATCAACCAGAAAAGACTTTAAAGGTGTATGCTATCTGAGATGATCAAAGCAATCGATCACTTGCCCGATCTGAACTGTTTGATCTATTTTGCATAAGAGGAGAGGTTCATCCTTACACCTTAGGCACTTGTAGCGGCACTACAGAGGTCTTTGGAAGAAGGGCACATGGATTTATTGTGTCCTCTCTAGGAGATAACTTACAATTACCCTTACCTACACTTGTAGAGTGCAACCAGATACCAGCCAACAAAGAAGAAATACCTACACCAGAAGTTGCCTTCTTCCACCCTCACCTAAAGTCAATAGCAAGTGAAATCCCACCACTTGACAAAGATGCTAAAATCCTTCTTCTGCTGGGAAGAGATATTCTAAGGGTCCACAAGGTGCACAGGCAGGTCAGCGGACCCCCAGATGCTCCATTTGCCCAGTACCTGGACTTAGGCTGGGTCATCATAGGTAATGTCTGTATAGGCAAAATGAAAAGGCCTACTAAGATTTCTTCATTCAAGACAAACGTATTGCCGAATGGTCGTAATACTCACGTTGAGCCATGCCCACATCACTACTGGGTAAAGGAGAAGGTAACTAGCTGCAACATGACAACACAAACCTTTCCCGCACATACGATGACAGGTTTGGCTCTACAGTTTTCAATACAAGCAGTGAAGACAACATGTTAGCTCCTTCAGTAGAAGACAAAGAATTCCTTAAAGTAATGGACAACGAGTTCTTTCAGGATGATTCCAACAGTTGGGTAGCACCCCTACCCTTTCGCCTCCCGAGAGAGAAGCTACCGAACAATCTACATCAAGCCATTAAAAGAGTCTCCTCCTTAAAGCGTACTTTAAGCAGGAAACCAGAGATGGAAAGACATTTTGTAGACTTTATCCAGAATATCTTTGATAGAGGTCATGCTGAACCCGCACCTCCACTGAAAGAAGGAGAAGAATGCTGGTACCTCCCTTCCTTCGGTGTGTATCACCCACGAAAGCCAGACCAAATCAGAGTTGTCTTTGACTCCAGTGCCCAACATGAAGGCATCTCACTTAACAACATGCTCCTCACAGGGCCCAACTTGAACAACAGCCTGATTGGAGTCCTAATTCGTTTTAGACAAGAACCTGTTGCAGTGATGGCGGACATTCAACAAATGTTCCACTGCTTCATCGTCAAGAAAGACAACAGAAACTACCTCAGGTTCCTATGGCACAAGGACAATGACCTCAACAGAGAGGTAATTGATTACCGAATGAGGGTGCATGTCTTTGAGAACAGCCCTTCCCCAGCTGTAGCAATCTATGGACTAAAAAGGACAGCCCAGCTTGGAGAAGCTGAGTATGGATCCGACGCTCGTCAATTTGTCGAAAGAAACTTTTACGTAGACGACGGGCTCAAATCCTTTCCTACTGCTAAAGAAGCAATTGATCTTCTCACCCGAACAAAGGAGATGCTATCCGTAGCAAACTTGAGACTCCACAAGATTATATCCAACAGCCAAGAGCTAATGAATGCATTTCACTCTGAGGACTATGCTGCCAGCGTGAAAGACCTTGACCTTGGGTCAGACATGCCTCCTTTGCAGAGAAGTCTAGGTCTGCTGTGGAACATCAAAGAAGACACATTCACCTTTCAAGTGTCAACCTGTGACAAACCTTTTACCAAGAGAGGAGTCTTGTCCATGGTGAATAGCATCTACAACCCACTGGGATTTATAGCTCAGTCACCACCCAAGGTAAGATGCTTCTAAGACAGCTTACTACTGATAACATAGATTGGGACACTCTGTTACCCATGGAGAAACAACAAAGATGGGAGAAATGGAGAGGTTCTCTGAAACCACTAGAATAGCTCCAAATTCCACATTGCTATGCCCCAGTCTCAATTTCAGCCCCCAAACAGAGGGAAATCCATATTTTCTCAAACGCATCAGTTGAAGCTATAGCTGCAGTGGCCTATTTGAAGACCTCAGGGATCAATGGAGACATACATTGCAATTTTGTTCTAGGCAAGGCAAAGCTAACACCAAAACCTGCACATACCATACCCAGACTTGAACTTTGTGCAGCCGTGCTAGCCGTGGAAATAGCCAAAGTCATAAAGAGTGAAATGGACATTAAAATCGATTCCTTCACATTTTACGCAGACAGTAAGATAGTGCTTGGATACATCTACAACCAAACCAAACAATTTTACGTGTACGTCAGTAATCGAGTAGAATGTATCAGAAGGTTCTCTCTGCCAAAGCAATGGCATTATATTCCCACGGACCTTAATCCTGCTGATTATGGGACAAGACCTATATCCCCAGCAGCTCTCCATGGCTGCTTGTGGCTGACGCCTCCAAGGTTTCTTCACGAAAACCCCTACTCAATTTCCACTGACGTTACCTATGAATTGGTACTTCTTCTCCCAAATGAGTGACTTATGCAAGAGTACCAGGCAATACGGTGCTATGGCGGGGAGAACGCCACTATAACTGTTAACTATGCCACTGTTGAAGCTCCACGGTTATAAACTACAGACTATAGGACTTTAGCCATCTGTTATTGGACTTCATGTTTTATTGTTCATTTACTGTATACCTTCTTGGTTTTGCAGGTATCTCGTATTTATGGTCTACACACCAGTATTATTTCCAATGTTTTCTTCACTTACAGGTTCAAGTTGGACTTTTAGACATTTGGACTTATCTTTATATACATATATATAGGCTTTGAAATCTAAAGATTTCAGGCGGGGAGTGTCATGTTACATGAAAAACACATTCATAGCCTCTGCAGCCGGTCCAGAATATATACCCCATGTTTCAATCTCTAGACTACTAGTACCTGTCAACAACAGTTCTCAGACACCTGTAACAGGGCTGGGCAATGCAGGCTTAAGTGTGCGGCAGCTCACACAGGTGATTCAGTGGTAAAGCACACCAGCCCTATAAGTCAAATATATATATATATGTATATATATATATATATATATATATATACTATACAGGTATACAGTAAGCACACAAGCACACTGATACACAGGATCACTGACAGACAAAACTCTGACTCACACACAAGCTTACTACAGACAAACTCACTGACACACAAGGCTCACTACAGACAGGCTCAGTGACACAAGCTTACTACAGGTAAGCTCACTGACACACACAAGCTCACTAAATACAAGCTCACCGACACACACACTCTCACTATAGATAA